GAAGGCCGACAAGCTTAGGGCGAGGACCCGTCCATCGCCGCTTGCGGCTTTAATTTTCTTTGCTTTCGATCATATCTCTCATTCTCTTTGACCATCTCTGTTCAGAGGAGGGGTTATACAAAGAGAAGTGTTGTGAGGATTACATTTTAAACCAGCCTTTTAAATGTATTTCAGCAGTTTTTGTACTTTTAATTGCTCCTTTTGCAATGATTACGCTGTAAGTTGTTTGTGTTGTATCTGCGTCGTCTTACTCAGGCTGATAAAATAACCATCTGCTCTTGAAGTGTTCGTGCTCTCGGCGGTTTAAAGCAGCAGCAGATTATTACACTGTCTCTGCATCAGTCTGAAGTGGCAACGTATTGTTAAGTGTGCAAGTGCTCTGTTGATAACAGTAATAGCTTTTTAAGTGTCACATTCAAGTGGTTTCAAGTGTTAATGTGCTGTTCTGCTGAGGCCTGATCATTCCGAATGGTTCTCTGAACTGATAACAATTTGTTTAATTGAACACTGAAGAGAAAAGAAGTCCATTTATACAAACAAGTTAACTTTCACATGTCATTCGAATCAAAAAGAAGCCATTTCTCTAACATGTATGTTTGTGTTTGTGTATATCTGCAGCTCCTCAATAGAGATAATACAGATTTACTGAAGATCATTAAAATATGTTTCATGATTCCGCACGAAAAATGTCGAGTGTTTGGAATTTATAGTATCAATTCAGCTGATGTCGAGCCATTAAAAGGTAGGAAATCATGTTTTAGTGTTTGACTTAAAGACCCTTTAGAAGAACATAAATACTGTTGACAGGGAGACTGCTGGAAACTGCAACGGAGGTTTGAACCTGGGAGATAAAGATTAAAGCAGAATCCTGTATCAGCACTGTTGGGAAAAAACACAAAGGTCAAACTTGGCCCTAAAGACTAGCTGCTGTGTGGATCAGACTTTATTTACACATTTTGATTATACAAATGTACAGATCTGTATGTTGGATGTGCCCATGTATTGACACAAAATTATAACGTGAAAAACAACATATGAAGTATCTTGCTAGTAAGGGATATGACTTTAAATACAAGCTTTGACAGTCAAAAAATAGTCACTTCAGAAAGTACCCACATCCTTTTACTTTACTTTACGGATATCCCAAGCCAACGTAACAGATCTAAATTGGGTCCAATCACGTTATTTTTTAACTGATCGGTGTAACCAACTGTCTTAACTCAGTCCTTTGTTTACATCTATTGTCACACAAGTGTCAGAGAACAAAGGTGCAAATTGTGGCAAGACACATTGCATAGTGTATATGAATGATGGCTGGAGGACATTAAATGCCACAGAACACACACAGATCATCAAATAATTACAAACTTAAGCATGCTATAACGTCACATATGAAAGGTCATCACAGTGGCACGTCAAATGGCAACACCGGGAATGTCACTAACTCCGGTGCTACGTCTGTATGTGTTTGTGGTGACTCTGCAGTACGGCTGGGCTGCAGCTGTCGCCCGAGTCAGATAGTGTTACATCCCACTGCACAGCTGACGGCACATATAAACACACTCAGCACCCTGCATGTGTGTGTATGTCAAGGTTTCCCTGCTAGTGACCTGGAGTGATGAGTCACCCTGTCTTTAAAATGTGCTAATCCTGAAAAATATACAGTCATCTGGGTTTAAATCAAGATTTTTAAACACACTCTCTTGTCTAAAAGTCTTCTGAAAACAAATATGACATCAGACTTTACTTAACGTATTGTTTAGACTTGTTTGACTCTGTTCTAAAGTAAGATTATAGGAAAAGAATGTGCATGGTGAAAAATCAAGAGAAAACCCTAGTTAAAGGGGATTTACACAATAAAAACCCTTTAAAAATCCAAGTTATCCATTATACCTGCAAGGCTGTACTTATTCCAAATGAAGGGTTAGCCTCAAATGATTCAGATAAGATCTTTAGTCACAGTCGTCCTCAAATGTATTCATACCCTCCCATTAAAGAAGAAAAAAACAGCTGCCACTGAAATAAGTTGAAATTGACAAAAGTAATGATACATAAAAAATGAATGAAAATCATGACATCGCTTTTGAATTGTGGTTCAACAGAAATATTAAAGAAAACAAAAACAAAAAACAAAAACAAGCATGATGGGACCCGTAAACTAATATTTTGTTGAACAACCCTTTGAGTCAATCACTGCAATCAAGTGTTCTCTGTATCTCTCCATCAGACTTCTGCACCTGTTGACAAGTATTTTGATTTTGGTCCACTGCTCATCAGCAAAGTGCTCTAATTTGTCCGTGACAGTTTTTATTTTTTTTAAATTATTCTTTTCAACCACATTTCAAAAGCAATGTCTTATTTCACTAAATTGTAATTTAGCAAATTTTTATTTATTGTTACTTTTTTCAGTTTCTAGTTATTTGAGTGACTATTGTGAATGTTGCCTTTTCTTTAATGGAAGGGTATGAATACATTTGAGGACGACTGTATACTATTCAACATGGGTGTAGTGACCAGTGAGCATGGCAGCTTTGAATGTCCAGTTGCTCTCTCCTATTGTATTTGAGGACTAGTGTTTGACCAGCAGCATCCGATGTCATACATCCTGTATGTCAGAGAGGAAGAGCAGCACTCTGCTCTTGACTGTTGGCAATGAACACACAGACACACAATTCACAATGGCAACGCCTAGTGTCAGCTAGACAGAGCAAGGACTCATCGGCCCGGTGATAATGCTGAGCTGTTGGCAACAAAGACACAAACACTGCACTCGCTGTCACCTGTAGCTTGAGATTAGCGCCTGTGTGTGGTCCTGCATTATGCTGAACTCCTCAACCCACACGATCAGTTGTTACCGCCAAGATGTCAGACCAAAGTATTGTTTGGAGGCATATTTTAAAGTGACACACCAGCCCACTCATACATCAGTTAAAGTCCCTTGAACTGAAGAGCAGAGTCAAAGAGAGACGGAGAAAGGAAGAGGAAAAAGAAGCACCACACAAACGCCTGATAAACACCAGCAGCCAGTCATGCTGGTGAACTTGCTGCTAAGTTTGGAAACCTTCTCTCGTTAAAGAATGCCATTATCTGCTAAAACAGTCAAATGGTTTGGGTAAGAACTTAAAAGGCCACACATGTCATCTGCTCCCGGCTTCCTTCCCTGAGGCACAGACAGTACAGAAATGGAAAACACTTACGATTTGTCTCTGCGGTGTGTGAAGCGTCGCTGGGGACTGGTCTGTCGTCGCCGTGGTGATAAGGATTTCCCCCGGCTCCGCTCCTTGATTGGTGACTGGGCACTGGATGATTTAAGGATCTAACAAAAAAAACAACACAGACACAAAGCAAAACAAACCATCATTAATATCAATGTTTTTAGGAATATTTATTATTAATTATGTTGATCTGAACATTAAACTAATGTAATGTAAAAGGTTTATTGAGCAAAATTATCATGAACTGTGCAGCTCAACAGAGCATTTAATTCTCTTTTGGCTCACGTCTTTGGTTTTACAGTATTACATTGAGACCTATCATCAACATATTTTGCTGCTTTGATGATCCAGCTGTACACAAAAGCCCAGCACTAAACATCTATGGAAAGACATTTTCACATTTGATAGCTGAGTCTGGCTAACCAGGACATACACTACAGATGTCAACATCATCATTATTTTGACTGGTCGTATTTACACTGACTAGTCAGAATTTTCACTCGATAACATCATTCTGATGAGTCAAACCAACAGCAAGAGATAACAGTAGTTGGCACAGGACATGGTGGAAAAGATCATTAGAAAATGCTGTGATATAAAAAGAGTTCAACAGCAAGGAGATTGTGGAGAACAAGAGCTTAATTCATTAGAGACTTGTGGTCAAACGCTACCAGAAGTCTGATATAGCGGTGAAACAATTTGTCATATGTGGTTACAGCTGCAGAGCTACGGTATGTTTAAGCAGCAAGCAGTCTCCACCTCCCTGCAGTGTCATGTCGCTGAGTCAAAACTCTAATGCATGATATCTGTAATTACATTTTGACAAGGCAGATTTCCAGTTTGAGATATCTACAACACCCTTCTAACTAGTTAAAACTTAAGATATGTAAAATACACAATGTCGATATCTTGACTTGAAGGGGCTTTAAGATAACTTGAACTAGAATTATGACGAATCAGAATTGAACTGTAGGTGTCTGACACTGGAAATGCAACAATCGAACTATCTGCAGCTGAATTATAGATATCTGTAATAAGAAACCTCACACACATGAATGATAGTGGCATCATTTGTATAAATAGGTGACTGTCAATCAACAGTCATAATTTCAGAGAGCCTAAAATGACATCTTCAAATTGTTTACATCCAAACAACAGTCCAAAACCCAAAGAAATTCACCATCAAAAACAAAAGCAGTGAGAGTGAAAATTGTTCAGCATAGACCACAGGATCCTGCTTCACTATTACAAACAATCACTGAACTCCTTCTGGCACTTCAACGTATAGACATTAAGCTGGCATGATGGCAACACCCACTGCTCCCGTGTAGCTGCAGGGACCGAAGTGCAGCCGTGATGAACGAGGCAGCAGGAAAACACTCCGACTGTGCGTGCGTGTGGCAATGACTTTTCTTCTTTTTTAATCTTCTTCAATCTCCAAAAAACTGCTGTGACAGATGAATCGTGGCGGCACTGCAATTTAAAGCTACAAATGAGGGCTTATGCGTGTATTCAACGGCAACTTGAAGCTATCATTAAGATCTCAGTGGGAGGAGAAAACAACAGGATGGCAAGTTTTCCTGGACCAAGACAAGGCCAGGAAGCGGCTCGTATTCCACAGCTGGTCACATTAATCATGTTCTCCTGATAGATATATGGATCTATGCGGGTTTCATACCTCACCCGTCCTTCAGCCTTTTTTTTTTGGCTCTCAAACTATTTTTTGAGGCTGAAATTGTACCTCTACTTAGAAGGACTAAGCACATATAAAATATCCTGCCTTAATATATATTAATGTTGCCCTCTATTTTAGTTGATCTTGTAGTTTTTAGCGTCTTACCTCTCCTGCTCAGCCTCTTGTTTACTTTAAATATTGCCTATCTAAGTATATGTAGGTGAGAGTATTGCATTGTTTTAACATGCAAGCAAACCAACTAAATTGCATCTACTGCTGGGAGTTTTTTTCTGCATTCCAAACTTTAAGTGTGTACTTGTGATGACTGTCATCAACATACTGTTTTTCCATTCCATAGCTATTACCTTAGCATAAACCTACAACTAACTTTAACCCTGAAAACAAGCTGTAACCCTCAGACAGAAGACCAACAAAATTCCTTCACTGTTATGAAATTGGGTTCTTCTAAAGATAGGAGTACATGAGTGCATACACAAACAGACCGAAGCCTGTCTATAATAACTTCACATTCTCTGGAGTACAGCAGAGATCATATCAAAGTCTCACACAGCTGACCAGAGTCTGACTGTGCGTGTGCCTGTGTTTTCATGTGTGTGACAGCTGCAGTCCCTGACCTACATATCTTCCTTACATGTATCACAGTTCATATACCGTACCACCGTCCAACACCAGCATCTCCCACACACACAGACTCGCACGTTGGCTTCGTTCGATTGCAAGTTTAGGAGAAAAGTACAAAAAGCAAACAAGAAATAAACTCATAGAAAATTACAAACTAAAAAAACCTACAAGGGCTCATTAAACATTTAACCTCCAACAACCCACTTCTCCGTGTCTCCCTCCCTCACGCACTCATGCACACTCATGCATTCCTTCCTTCCCCATCATGCCCTCAATAATTCTTGACAGTTTATATTCCATGTTCAGCCCAAAGGAAACAACATCCATCTTTGGCCTCATGGAAAACTAGAATAAAGGTGTTTCCCTTGTTCAATCTTAAAAAGAAAACAAGTCCGTGAGTGTGTGCTGATGCCCAGTTTAACTGTTTGGATCACAAGACAACCTGCTGTTTAAACTTCAGCCTGAAGTCTGTCTAAACACAGACACTAAGAGTGAAAAACGAGTACCAGCAACATCCAAATTAATGATAAATCACTGAGTTCAGTTCAGTCTTATTTAAAGAGTGCCAACAGAGAACATGTGTGATCTCTGGGTACTTCACATAGCACCAATACTATTATAATATATTACATTTTAAAGAGAAAATCAAGAAATCCAAAGTTTAATATTGGAGATTATGAAACACCAACGTAAACAATAAAAATCTGCTTCAGAACTGCTGAAACATGGAATTAATCTGACAATAAACAGCAACTTTGTTTATTTTCTGTATCTTTTTTTTTTTTTAAAGGTCAAGTTTGTCACTTGATCAGATTTTAAGAGACACTTTGGTCTTTTCCAGGGAAACTGTATCCAACTATTATTTGGGCAAATAAACCATTTTCACTCTTGAATGTTTAATTATAGTCCCCCCGGTTGATTTATTTTGTGGTTTGTCATCAAGTGCCTGTTCAAAGGGAGTCATTGGATTTGTTGTGTTTCTCTCTACAGTATAATATTGTAAGGTCTTGACCCAAATAAGTGAAAAGCCCTGAGATGAATTACGTTGTGAATTGGAGCTATACAAATAAAACTGAACTGAAAGGTTTGTGAGTGGTCGGTATTTTCTTCTGCTGCTGGCTGCCAATTTTCTTTTCTTGTTCGAGGCTGCACTTACTCGCTCTCTTACCAGAACTTTATTAAAGCTTATGAAAGGATTGTGCTATTTATTAGGGAATATCGATTCAGACTACCTTTTAATTCGTGGCTGTTTTGAACCAACAAGGGTATTTCTGTCCTGATTAATTGATATTTTTTGACTCTGTTTTATGCTATTGTAAGATACTAATAAAATAACCAATGTTGTGAACCTCTATCATGATCGATATGGTTTGATAAACAAATGCAGCCTGTAGGAAACATACGCCTCTAAGTGATGCTAATAAAACACTGAATCAGGTTATGGACATCACGTATGATGTCAGTAAGTATTTCAGTGGTTTTGTCTACTGTATATGTTGTCTGATTGAACCTGGATTCCTCAGTTGAAAATTTCTAAAACAAAAACCTTCATCAGCACAACTGAAAACTAATATAAAATTCTATGTAGGTGTGTGTGTATAAACAATGTACCTTCATCCTCATGTCCCGGCCATGCTTCTCCAGCTCCTTCCTCATCTCTTGAGCTCCCAGTCGGGCAGCGTTCAGCACCAAATGCTTCCACTCGATTGGCTGGAAGACGTGGGGGTCATGAGGCACGTACAGGCCAATCTTCACCTGGAAGACGTGGGGGTGTGTTCAAACTTTTACTTTTTTTTTTTACCATTTCTACCAAAATAAGCTATCACCAACCTCCTCCTCCACCACCTCCATACTTGATGTCCTCTTTTACCTTTTTGAGAGTGTGCTGGTATCTCTTGTAGGAGCTCTCAAACTCAGCCACCAGTTCTCCCAGTGTGCGGTGGGTCAGTGGTTTGTCCATCAGGTCCTGGCGGCGGCTCATACCCAGCGATCCATAGCGGCCGTTGCAGTAGACGCCCAGCACAACATGGTGGAAGCAGTGACCCGAAAACTGGGTCTTAAAGCTGATGGGGAAACGCTCGAGAGACGTCAGCCCGTTGGTCAGGTAGCTGGTCAACAGGAGTTATGGAAGGATCTGCAAAGTTTTTCTTGTATTGCTGTCTCAAACAGTGAATTTTCACAAGCTTAATACTTGACTGGATTTATCAGATGAAATAATCGAGGTACACTTTGACTGCACCACTGGAGATGCACATTTGACTAAAAAACCTGAAACAACAACAACAAAACTTGGGCACAAAGCTGAGAGCAAAAGAGTATTTGTTTGGATTTGTCACAGCAGAGGCGGCAGAGCAGCTTGAGTCATGTGAAATTAGATGCAGTCTGACTCTCAGAGGACCAATACTATGAAAATGCCACGGGGTAAACAGTGAGTCTCAAACTGCAAGAGTTAGTGGGCTTGAGTGTTTGTACAGCTCCGCCTGTCTAACTGAATCTGTCTGGTTCATTGTTGTGTTTTGCTCTTATTTAACAAGAAAAACAAAGACAGAGAGAGATGATCTATCTGGTACCATCAGAAGCCAGAGGAGATGATACCAGAGTATGTGTTTGGTTCGTCTAGTGACTCACCATGAGATGTTTTGTGATTAAGTGCAGTTTTTCTAAAACTTCGATCTCCTATTTCTTCATCTGCACACAGTAATCTCCTACCAATCTCCTCTTTCTCAACTTTTCCTTTCCTTCTCTATCTCTACATGTCGTAAAATCCAGCAGCCCAGGTTATCTCCAATTACTAAATGCAAAAGATAAAATTTTCAGTAAAATATTGAATGAGGTCTATTTTAGTCAAGCTCTCGTGCTGTGGACTGCACAGCTTCATGGAGTTCAGCACTGACACGGATCCAACCGTAGCAATCTGTGCAACCACACACACAAACATACACAGAGAGAGATCTGGACAATCTCTTTGTCGGCCGGTTGCCAGCCATCTGCTCCATCCTGCCCATGGAAGTCTGTCATTGGCCAGAGTGACTGTCTGTCATCTCACCAGCATGCATGCCACAGCACTGCTGTGTTTTCATTAAATATTCACACAGGGCCATCCGCACAACTAGACCACTGATCACACATACTTACCAATGTGTTTCAGTGTGTGTGTGTTCACAGTGTAGGAAAGCCTGTGGTTTTAAAGCAGAACACAGACCAGAACACAGAGAATTAGCCTGTTGAATGAAGAAAACCACAAAACTTCCATACTAGGTGATTAAAACTAATGTAAATGCTGAAATAATACACACTGGTTTGAATTGTGGCTCAACATTAAACTTGTCTTGCAACCAGTTACACAAATCTCCTCTCATCATAATGGTACCCTCAGTACAAAACAGTAAAAACAACATACATGCACACAGTTGAACGTTTTGAAAATGAGCTTTTTGTTTTGTAATGTTTCAAAGAGAAGCACTGTCCTGAGGGATGTACCATAAAGAGACATTAATGGGTTAATGAGGTATGTTGAGCCTAAAGCCACAGTTCTCAATTGACTACAATCAACATGGTAACAGATGCTGCAGCTAACCTGCTCTGGAGAACATTCTGTTTTTCACCAATTCCTTTCCTGACCACATTCTCTCAAAACAGGCCATATATTGAAACCTGTTGAGCTTTATGTTAGTAAAACCACTAAAGGAAGCTGTGCAGCGTACGCACCATGTTGCCATGGGAACCTACATGCATTCAGTTGGTGATGCAGAAAAGATAGAAACGTTTTATGTTCGGTCCTGATTTATTGCCAAGTCTGTTTTACACTGCTGGTGCTGCAGCTAATAGAACACAAATTAGAAAATGATTTAGTCTATTGATATCTATTACAGAGATTATTCAAGCAATAATATCAAATTTAATTTGACTGTCAAAAAACTAAAGTGATTTCCACGCATTCTTCAGTATGGGACAGTGTCTAATTTAAATGCACTTCTTGAGCACCACAGTAAAGGTCTGGTAAACTGCAAAGTTGGAATGTGCAGATATCATGGTAAAAATAAGCAGCTGCATTGAGAGTGCACTGAGTGGCAAAATAAATATATCAACTTACACGATTAACATTTTTCGACCACCATTCCTGTCTTGCATTATTTGCAGGTATGTATATGGTATAATTTTCATTGCTCTCCATTATAATATTATAACCTGTCCTCCTAACTGAAGTAGGAAGTACATGATCATTCCATTTTGTGCAGAAAAGGGGTGAAATGATATGTTAAACATTCCCTTTTTATAGTTACACCCACACAGCTTGACAAAGAAAACCTGGTTAGTTGGTAACCACCGTCGTGATTATCCCATTATCTCCCAGTGGGGTTTTAGGTTTGCTTGACCTAGCTAACACAAAGAAAGTCTGGCTATACTAAACTTGTTTCACAGATCAACCCCCAGGGGTCCGTTTCACAAAGGAGGTTTAGCGAAAACTCTAAGTTGGACCCCAGATCATGCAGGCTAATTTAAACACTGTGCAAACATGTACGCTGTGACCATGGGGGTACAACTGAGAACAGCTATTATACTGTCAGAAACATATCTGGTATTTCTACAATAAATGTCAACTTAGTGTCATGTCTCACTTCTGTTTCTGAGATGCCAAATTCTTGACGCTGACGCTAAAGAGCCATGTGTGTTACACATATATTCTCTTTCCATCAGAATTAACCGAAACATGAAATTTGTACTAAAAGTACTCCAAGACTCCTAACAAACCGTGTTGTTCCTGACTAATGAATGGTTCATTACACAGGTGCACTTACTGTGACAAAGGATATGTGACACTGCTAGCAGTAGCTCTCTCTGACTGCTTGACTGAGCCTGTGACTGTGACAGAACCTACCGCTATTTTGCATCCATCCATCCATCCATCCATCCATCCATCCATCCATCCATCCAATGTGACAGTTGAGTTGAGTTCACATCCTCCAAAGATTTGTTTCTCTGCCTCACTCCTGTGTTCTCATGCAACATCAAATCATTCAAATACCTCATCTCACTGTTCTATTTTTAAAAAGCAGAGGTAACTGAGAAACCCTTATCTGTGGATATAATGCAGAGCTAATCCAATGGATTTTCAAATTCTCTCTCTCTATGACTATTCCCTCCCTTTTTGTATCATATTTCTGTCCTTCCCTCTCTCACCAACCCTCCCCCCTCTCTTCCTCAAGTTTCTTTCTACAGTTGCCTCCACTGTAAATTTCAAAGCAGAAAGATTCAAGATAATACTATACAGGAAAAGGCATGAAATCCTCTTTATGTTTGGTGTCTTTTTTTAACCAAGAGTCATGTGCTTTCCTAGTCGAGATCATAAGCGAACACCAGGCTCTGAATGTACTCAGCTACAGTTTGGGGAATGGCATTCAAACATCGCCAAAAGAGTCTCGACATACATAAGTATGAGGTTGTTCTAATAGCTTGTACTGGGCACCATTTACAACTGAAGGGAATCACAATTTTATATCACTTAAGGATATTGTACACTATAAATTGGGTGCTTCCAGCTTTGTGGCAACAGATTATAGATGGTACTTTGCTATTTTTAACAGCAGCACCCCTAAACATTCTACAAATGAAATACACCAGGAAGCATTCATTAATTACCCAATTTCATTTTGTTACTTGATACTGAAAAGTTCTCTAGAAATAAGTAAGTTCTATAATTATTTTTCAAATTGAGACTGCTCTGTACTCAGGCCTTATTCTGCAAAACCCCACTCAGTGATGTCTAATACAATGAGACACATCAAACACACACGCCGTCAACACACATGCATACACACCCGCACTGAGCTGGTATGACCCGAGATAAACCCTGAAGATCCTGGAGAGAATTCAGACCTCTGTTAACGTGGAAGCAAAGGAGCCAGTGGCAAGACAGACCAAAACAGACCAACTGCTCCAACTGCCCCAAGCTACAACAACAGTTGCTATTCATCTCCTTTTCTTCCCCACTTCTCTGTCTCGGCTTTCTGCCTCCACTTCTATCTTGTGTTTTTTCTTTTTGCTGTATGAAATATTTGATTGGTATGTTTTACGAAATTCTCTGACTTTAAATTCCAGAACAGATAATTGAGACAGTGAGTCATTCAGAGAGCCAACTGGTTGGGCTGGTATCACACTATGTCAACAATAGCTGGTGACCTATAAGGTGTGTCTACTACTACTGTTGATATGTAAAAGATCGGCCATCAGCTGTGATTATAGGTAAGGCCTCATAGCTCAGTGGTTAGAGCACTGGTCTTGTAAACCAGGGGTCGCGAGTTCAATTCTCGCTGGGGCCTGCTCTTTTATTAGTGTGGATGACCTCAGGGCACAGTGAAAGGTGACACTACACAAATATACACTGTCCCTTGCTGATATGACGGCAACACGGAGGTTTAAAGGGCATAACGGGGCGAAAAAGAAATCGCTCACAGGGATTTTCTCGACTCCAATTTCCTTTTTTTTCTCTCATTTTTTCTCACCCCCTCTGGCTCTTATTTCCCTTCTTGCCTTCAGCCTCAGTTTATTTTTCTATGAAGGTCTCGTCACTCTGTAAATTTCCCTCGGTCTCGCCTCCTTTCATCTGTAGACTAAAGCCAGTCTCAATTAAAGTCACTGTCAGCTGCCGCCCTGACAGCCCCCGAGAAAAGCCACTGTGAAACTAGCACATGCGAAACTGGACCATCCATTCATAGAAAGAGTGAAGCAGAAATCTCTCATCTGTTGACACTCTGAAGTCCTTCATGAAGGTACCTTTTAAAACATTACAAAATGTAATGTGTGTTTTTTTTTTAACTAAACGATGCTTTTGAAAATCCATTAGTCCCCTTTGCAAATCCAGTCATTACCACAGTCATCATGCACTGTGTTGCCTGTGATGTGACTGCTGAAAACCAAATGCAGGAGCACAGAAAGGACATTCTGAGTATGTTGTGTGTGGAAAATAGCTGCCTAAATGAATTCTGATTCTAATTCACATAGACCAAGTAATAAGATTTGATCATTGTATTTCAATGTATGCATTTACTAAAAATGATGTCAAATACCCAATTTCTCTGGTATAAAACGGAAAGAAGCAGTGAATGGTCGGATTTGCTACAACCAGTTTTTTTGGCTGACTGTCTCACTGATTGATAGATTTACTGTTTCAGCAATTCTCTGATTTAGAAAGCTTTACAGTGAGATCAATAGTTAAATGAGGCTGAACTGCCAAATTACAAACAAGATCAATGTTGACCTTGACCCTGGCATTTGTAATGGCCATTATTTGGGCTGCAAAATACCATCAAATATGTTTGCTTGATGTCACATCTGAGTAAAGGTCTTCATGGTTCCCATCCATGTTTTATACAGTCAGTCAGGTCCTGGTTTATTACTGCAGCTACCAGGTCTGTTTAGCATTCTGTGTAATACCCGAGTGGATGCCAAGTTATCTTTATTACACTAGGTGCAGCAAAATTGCAAATCTAAATGAGTCGTATGAAATAACAAGTGGACTAACTATGCTGTTTCAATCAGCAACAACAACAGACAACCTGGATGTATTTTAGCAGCTTTCTTGGTAAGAAGGATGGATTACATGCTTCACAACTAGGCACAGCAGAAGAGGCTGATAGACATACTAAGAGACAAAGGTTTAGTTTGATAATGTAAGTTAATATTTTACTTCAATCAGCCTTTAAATTGTTCCAATCAGGTCTGTGTCTCCCAGTCGGATTTGAATCTGGCGTTTCTTGGACCTGCGTGGGTCCAAGCTGTCAAATACCAGATGGTCCAGTTCAGTTCCAGGTCGAACCTTTCCAGGAATTTTTGGGTTTAGCATAGGCTTGAATGATACGCCAAAAATAAAAACAAAAAAATCATATTGTGATTATATTGACATATATTGCATTATCAATGATTTTCTTTTATATAGAAATTGCATCCCAATGGCACCACCATTCTTCGTCTAAAATTGTTTGTGGTGACGCATTTTACTTTTATCAAACTAAATTAATAGATCATTTGCAGCTCCTGCAAATCCAGTACTACACTCGTCCACATGGCAGTTTTGATAACATTTCAATTAAGTGTTCAGTCCTAGCTTGGGGCTTGTGAAGACCTCCACATCAGAGCTCGCAGTTCAGATCAAGGCATGATAAGTTAACTATGTGAAATTTAATTGAACATGCAGTAACTTTGCATCTTGCAATTAAAGACAGGAAGCTGTTAGGAGTCTTCAAAACATCAAGGATAAAGGATCAGGCAATGTATATGTAGAAGAAGAAGCCAGAGATCTAAGAAATTGATCTTTGCAGTCTAATCAGAGCTTTTCTTCTTGTGCAATAATGAATATCAGATCAGAATTTTAACATACAGCTAAACTAAACATGTTTGACAGAATTGAAAAAAATAAATAAATAAAAAAATGTTTTTCTCAGAGCTAAACGGTGAAGCTCGTACAAAGCTATACACTGCTGCTTTAAAATTTAAGCTCTGTTGGATGATACTAAGCCTGTGTGTATGAGTGTGTATGGTGGGGGGTTAAACTTTGAAGTGGGCTTGTTGCCAAGCAACACAGTAAGAGCTGGAAAGGGTGGCGATGTTGGGGGGCATTAGGACGTTATAGCAGTATGTCTCATTGATTTCACCATCAGATACACAAAATAACCTCTTGGCCCTTTGCTTGGTGTGTGTCTGAATGTGTGTGCACAGGAAAAGATACATTCCCAAGATGACGGCTTCGAGGCATTTGATTGGCAAAGACTCCCTGATCATCTCTCTTGCTGTCTCCATTAGCCTGTAGGGGGAAGACGAGGACGAGATGAAGAAGAGGAAGGACAAGGAAAGGAACGGAGAGGAAGCAGGAAAGAAGAGGAAGAGGTGAAGGATGAAGAGAAGTAGAAGAGACAGATAGAAGGGCAAAGGCAAGAGAAAGAAAGAAGCCCAGACATATGTGTCAATGCAAGCATTAAAATCTTAAAATCTAGATTAGAATTTATTTTTTAGGTCATACAGTTCAGCTGCATTTCCTTCAGATTTACAGTATTTCTTATCTTATATAAAGACGGCCACAAGCTGCATAGAATTATGTTACTTCATAAGCTGATATATTTAGACTGCAAACATTGTAAAGGCTTCAGTTTTATGTAACGCTATGACATCTTCTCTTTTCTCACTGTCTACAGGAAAATCAGAGATCAGGGTGGTTGACCTTCCTATTCAACACTCCAGCATGCTGCTCTTTAATCAAACTAACTAATCACCTCCTATGATTTAAAGCAACTACAGGATTGTGTGCATGCACAGTTAATATCAGGCCTCTTCTCTGGACATTTTTTACCTTGATTCTGTCCACATCTCTTCAGTAAGATGATTAGGAAACATCATCAATCACTACATTCACATCATAAGCTGATTACTGGGATTAAGCTACTAACTTAATTAAAGCATTTACATGGGTCACAGTAACCTCCCATCCTCTATTCATCATTTGTTGTCATCATTCAAGAGTTGACTTATTTACAGAGCTCCTTAAAGGAATAATGTAGCTTTTACTCATTGCTGATTCTTTCCAGTTCAACATCTACTATTTTAACTCAAAACATAAACTCAAATGACGCTATGCCTTACAATGCCTTGGTAAAATAAAACAAAGAAAATTATTTTGGCTTGTGTGCAAACATGCTTATGACATGTATGTATGAAGACGCTCATAATTATTCTGTTAATATTATTTCTATTTAATGGTGCTAATTGGTGTGTCATTTCCAAAGCTGCAGTCCACTTACCCACACAGAGGACGACTCTTCTTGATTTCAAAGAACTGGGTTCCTGTGTGGTTGTATCTGATGGACATGTTAGGGACAGCAGCATTGTCAAGAGTAGTTTTCATTGTTGTGTGTCCATCCCTGCTGACACAGGGCTTCTGAAGGTGGCGTTATGTTGTCTTGGTCACTTACAGTCTGTCAGGTGTAGCATGTGTTGTTGTGTACCGTGCTATTGACAAAGGATACTGCAGAGCCTTCATATAGTTCTGGATGGCAACGAGCCAGTCTGGGACCGACATGGACGGTTTGAAGGTCGGAATAGAGGGAACAGGGTGCTGTAGACAGAGAGAAAAGTGAGAGTGAAGATTTTTACACATTATTTCCAGCAAATCAACATGTGGTAACATTTACAACCCCAAAACCACCTTCCAACGTCTTTAGAAATCTACATTCCCAATGTCCCGTGACTCATTACAGCTCATGTTCCAAGGCTGTTGGAAAAAAAAATACACTGGCTACACTAGTCACCTCCTTATATTACCCTCATGTTAAAAGAGAATTCATTTAAAGCCACAGACCTGAATTCATGTGGTGAAGACTGACAGAGGTACATGTCAGTAGATGCCTCTTTCCCAACCACCAGAAATCATTCCAATCTGCCTGGAAGCTATTCTTCAGCTATCAGCAGCACTGCATGGCTGCTTGTAAAAAGCCTCAAACTTGGCTGCCATTATTGTAAAGCAACAGAGACCTTGTTGGAAGCTTATCTCTCTTTAGTAAACGTTTGATTCAGGGAAAGTGCTCTGCTCTGTATCAGCGGATACAGATGACAGTATTCCTATATTTGGACAGGAGATCATCAAACGTCTTGATGAAATATTTATTACTTGTTTGAATGTGAATATTTGCGGATGATTTAATATTCAAAACTGTACAAAAAACTGTTTAGACAGCAAATGTTTATTCTTGTCAGTATTACAAAGCCATCTGTAATAACTTTTAGACAGCAGAGCAACAGTAGATCTATTTCTACTTCTGAAGGTTGCAAAAATGCCCTTATAGTCTGAACAAAAACACCAATCTATAGACAGTTATCAGTGGAGAGCCACAGAAAACAACGTGATACAAAGATGACACATGGCATACGTCGGTCTCAAACCCCGATTCGGTGGTGTGCATCACCGTAGACCACGAGGCCAATAGACACTCATGCTGCTGTTTGCAGCTGTTTCACCTCAACAAAAACTATTTGGAAAAGGAAGCAGGGGTCACAGATGTGGATTCATGAAAGGACGTGACCACACCGACAGAAAGTGAGTCAGACTGAAACACAAACCAACACTTCCTCTGACACACAGGCAGCTTGTGTGCTATATATGTGTGTGTGTGTATGTGTGGAGGAAGGGTGAACCACAGCACAACCCCTATCATTTCCTGTGGCTTTTTGCTTCACTCTTTATTTACAGCATAAAGGGAGAACTGAGGAGGACAACAACAGAACAACATGGTGGCAAGGCCCTACGTGTTGCAGTATTGTGTCCCTCAGCTTTCTTTTCTATAAAAAGGGAGTAAGAAAGAAAGAAAAGTGAAAGTGTCTTGAGTTAAACACTGCCTTGGCGAGCACAAACATAAAACTACTGGACATGTGGTGTTCCCAATAACCAAAGTGTGATATTTCTACAAATAGACTCACAGCTTCTCTATACTGGAGTTATTTCGGCCACATTCCTCAGTCTCGTGTGCGTGTGACGGAATAGACACACTTCTATTTTAATCAATACAGCTGTCCACACAGGCGGCGTCACTGAGCGGCCCGAAGTGGATTTTTAGGCTTTATTTCTATTTTGTTCCATTTTAAATGTACATATACATTTGTGCACGCAAAATATACATTTGTGTAAGTAAGCTAATGGCTCCCGAGGATCATCTAAATATATATTGGAAATCAGGGAACAACCAGCATGTGTTTTTTCAGGGTCAATACCAATATTGACTACTAATAATCAATAGTACCAACAACACATAATTGGAACTGATATACCTTTGTAGAAAAAAAACAACATCCGGGTTTTGAAATTTTAAATAAAACTCCAACACAAAACTTCATTGAAATGCCTTTGTCAATCTGTTTTACATATGTTGAATTGAAGAAGAGCTTTTGAACATTTATAATTCAGAGTTAATAGGCTGTTAGTCATGACATGTGGCCAATCACATTGAGAGAGAGAGAGATGGCTACACCAGAGTTTTTGTAAATCAATTTAGCAGGTTATAAGGTTGGTAAATAAACAAAAAACAAAACTGTACTACTCATATTTGGAAAAAGCTGAATATGAAAACTACACAGGCGTCTCAGCAAAAGCGATTATTCAGCCACATAACCACTGATTTCAGTGGACATCGAGTCGATCAGCCTTAATGCAGACAACAGACCAGCCAGCCAACCTGTCACTCACCAACTCCTACAGCGAGGAAAACTATTAGCCAACTGGCCGCTCTTCTAGTCATCAGGCCATCAGCAGTCATTTAGTCCATAAACCAGTCTGCCAACCAGTCAAGACCAGTAAATAGCAGGTTTTATTGCCACATAATCTCTCATGTAGTGAAATCCTCACTAAGACGTAATACACTGGCTGCCTCAGCTAACACACACACACAAACACACACACACTCGCTCTCTAAAGCTGCTTTCTGCTGGGTCAGGGAGTGAGATGAGTGGTGATCTCTCCTTTATCATCCCCTCTTCTCTTCTCTTCTCTTGGCTACAGTGGGATGACAGAGCTGTCATCTTTCTGCTGCCGCCAGTGCAGGAGCACTATCTAAAAAGACTCTGTTTTAAATGCTGTATGATGAAGTTACAGATTCAGGTGCCACCAACAGCCATCTGACCTTCCAGCATCACTTCATTCTTGTGTTTCTGCATCAGGTTGGATAGCAAACTTACATGTCACTCCTCCTGAAACATGCTTGGAATTGTTCGTGTAGATAATTTGGATTGTGTATTCTGTTATACTGTAATACAGCGACACAGCATCAGGGAAGAGTGACCCGCCCTCTCTCCATTAAGAGTTCAGCTGGAAGAGCCTGACTTATCAGCCCAGTTATAACTTGTAATTAATCTGTCTCAGCCTCTTTTCCTGTTTTCCTCTCTTGTGTAATCTTCTCCTCTCTTTCTTCCTCTTCCTTCTCCACCCTTCCTATTTACTAGTTTATCTCAAAATGTCCTTTTTGTTTTGCCTCTCCTTTCCATTCCTCGCTCTCATCTCTTCCCCTCTCAGTCACACCCCCTCTTTTTTGTCATCTTAGGTCACCTTGCTGTTTTTTAATCCTCCCTCCTCATAACTTCCAATGTGTTTTTATTCCCAGCTCTTCATTCCAGTGCCACAGTGCAGCTTGTGTCATTTACATCCACTGAGTTTAAATGTTCTGGAACTGTTGGAGGTCAACTGATGATTTTTTTGTTTTTCCGGGGCCAATACTGATTATTATTCAGGGAGACAGATGAACAATAAAACGTTCTGTGTCGAAATTTGGATCAACACAAACACCAACACACCTCAACATTTGTGGAGCTGTTGAGTGGTGAATAAGGACAGATAGATCAAAATAGATCATTTTTAAATTAGTGCATTTTATTGTGAATCAGTTCAAAAAAATGATGATAACAATAATCAGATGCTGAATGTAGGATCTGATAATCAGTCGGGCTGCTAATCAGTCTTCGTATCTGCCAACCCTTAGGCCTGACCTGTCTCAGCCAGCAGCAGACACAAAAGACAAAGGGACTGAAACCAGAGACTTAAAGCCACGTTTTAAAGTGGGAGGCACGATCTGTCTGGTTTTTGAATTTTGAATTGGTTGAAGCAAATGGGGGATGAACAGTAGAAGGTAATTAGAGAATGACAGAAAAAGTCGAGGAGCGTAAACAGAGCACAACAAAATCAAGGGAAGGGTGAAGACGAGTAAATGAAGGTAATCTGCAAATAAAGCCAGCTAGAAATGTGGCTTATTGCCAAATAATTAAGACCTCTTTTGGTTGCTCAGCCCCGACAAGTGCAAAACCATTTACAACTTAATTCAACAGTTATCCAAGCTGCCTGCTGCAACAAGTAAAACACAACTGGCACAACCTTCTAAATAAAAGTTTTTCTTACAGCTCGGCAGCACTCATTAAGGTATGCTGGGTTTGAGTGTCACAGAGGTGACAAGATACAACAGATAGCGGTGTCCTCTGCTACCTTCGGAGCACTTTTGCTCTGTGTGCATTAAAGATTAAAAACAGCGAGGCAAGATGAAGAGAGGCAGAGACGGGGCCGATCGTATTTCATGCTGTCAAGATATCTTTAGAGCAGGACATCCCCAGGAATGCCTTTCTCTCTGCATGTGTGTGTGTCTGAGTGTGTGTGTGTGTGTTCACAAAAGACAGCCTAGAAACCAATGATTAAGAATCAACGTGAGACTTTCTGTTGCTTGCCCGTTTTACTTGGCTGTACAGAAAGTGAGAGGGACGACAGCTTTTTTCTGAAGACGTACACTACTTGAGTACAGACAGCAGTACTTAGCAGTGACTGGAAGCTGCTGTAATGCTGCAGTCTGTAATTCTTTGCCTCATAGCACATCTGTCTAAACTAATCCACGTTGGCAGGCGTCCATACATATGAATGTCCAATCCCAAACATGCCATTTCTGTCTAAAATACTCAGCACACAGAGAAATACATGAAGTCAATTTCAGCAGCACTGGTTTAATCTGGACACTGTGATGTGTAATGTTGTATTCGCTAAGATGCTGCACAAAAATATAATACTTTTGTGCCAAGTGACAGATGTGGCATTTTTTTTATTGTTGTTTTCTTGTTACCATATGTCGTTGAGCTCGTTCTGCTGCCGCAAAAAAACAAAAGTCTAGTTTGAATGTAATCTGTTACTGCCATCCAAAATCAAATCCTATTGTCACAGTTTGAACAGAAACATTTCACTCCAGAACAATAGGACTACAATGGATTATGCAAATAAAAAACAACTTTATCCTACTTTTTTGTTGACAACATCAGCGGTACAGTTAGATTTAGTTTATGCTTCTGACCGGTGACCATGAATTCAGTTCACATGTAGCAAATGACACTGAACATGACAACAGACTCATGTTTAAGCAAATTCAGTCTCATGTTTTGCTCAATGAGCAAACCAGCATGTTTCAGTTCAAATCAGGTCATTTAACAAGTGAAATCCTCTGAACGGATTGCAAAATGAGTAATGGCCAAAATCTCAACCAATTTATAGTAATGTATGAAAGGAGTCCACACCACTTATTGATTTCAATTTCAGCTGTATTGAATCCATATAAAATACATGCTTTTCTAGTTGTGCTTATACAGCTGCAGCATAGATTTTTTGCCCAGAGGAGTTTTAGCCAGTTTTGTTTACCAGTGAAAGCCCTTTAGGTAGTCCAGTTGGTATCCAGAGATTATCCACTACCCAGATTTATTCGAGGGATTATTTGTTTGCTGTGCCAAACCCATTCTCCATGCCCTCTGTTAATGAGGGCATGGAGAATGACAACAAGGCCTCTGGTCACTGACAATAGCACAGACCTACACTGTGTGAAGCCTATCTTAAGGTACCACACGTTGCATCTTCAAAGCAACCTGTCTGGCTTGTATCCAAGCGTTCTTCTTACCGTTTGTCCAATTTGTTTTGTGATGACACTAAATGTCTTGTTTAAAAGTTACACGCAGCTGCTCTAATAAATGTCATGTTTTAACATTTCCTAAACTGACAGACCCTACTAAACTCTGATCAGTACAAGTTAACTGAACACTGTTTGTCTTCATAGGGAAGTCATTCCTCTAATTTCTCTCCCTTTCTCACCTTCTCTTTCCCTGCCTGAAGGCATAGTTAACCCATGTGGGGCAATAGCGACTGTATCTGTGGTAACCACCTGCTTTTACACTTTAGACACTTTACACACACTGCAGTCTATAACACACATACACACACTGACACACACACACACACAGAGTCAGGTTGCATATCAACAACGCTGCAACGTAAACCCACTGACACTTGAGTTGCTAGCAGAGAGCTCTATACACAGCAGTGTCCGAGCAAAGTTTAGTTCAATCAAAGCAACTTGATTTCGTGATCATATAAAAGGTTTGCATACAAAATAGCGGTCAAGCTTAATTTGATACAAACACTGTTTGGAAAAGTTAGCTTTTTCCCCCCACAAATTCCCCACCCAGAAAGCTTCCAAGTGGCTCCACAGTGGTAGCTGTCTCGATCATTTCAGTGTCATCATTTGCATAGTGATATTGGAAATTAGAAACCACAATGAGCCATGGACAAAGACTACTGTACACAACACAGACACAGGGCAAATATATGCGCATTCTCAATGTAAAGTTTTTTTGCTAGCGTATTTGTTGTCGAGCACATATCCTCCTGTTGTCCGTCTGTCTCGAACGGGAGTTTGGTGCTGCCAGCCAACCAGGTCACTAATGACCACATGGCCAATTAGCAGAGCTAAACAACAACCAGATTCCCTCCTCCTCTGCCTGAAACACAACAAGCATTCATCCAAATCACTGACGGGAAAACTATGGGGGACAATTCAGGTTGACAGGCCTCAAAAGCAACATATAGAGATGAATATCATGCACATGGTGTTGCCTGAAGAACCAGTCCAACGTCTTTTTGTCTTTTACTGGCTGCTGTTTTTGTTCAGCTGCAACACAAAAATAGTTTGAAGAAGAAAATGACCAAAGGAAAGACATTATTATCACCACTATAACTGATGCTATTAAAACTAATACTACCGCTAATGATGCGATTGAATATATATTCAGGGTATTAATGCAACTTATTGGTGTTGTTTTTTAAATTGACTAAACGATTGATTTTTCATAAATAATTCACCTTGTAAAATATTAGAAACAATAAGTTTTCTTAAGAAATCATTTTTGTCAAAACACCTTTTTTTATTTTTTATTTATTTTTTTACAATCACATTAAGTACACATGGAAGATGGGATCTGCAAATGTTTGATATTGTGCTTGATATCTTACTCAAACAATTATTATTAGAGGTCAGGATCAGCTGTAGAACAACACAGCCCTGGAGAGCTGTTTGGGTTTTAATGTCACTGCAAGCCTACACTGTACCAGACTTTTCAACATGAAACATGAATTTTCAGGCTGCTCTCTCACCTGATTGTCTGTGTTGTTTCAGCTTTTTTCGTTTTTGGTCTTTATGAAGCATTAATGCAGCATTTTCTAACCTACAGCCAGGTTATGGCGGTAAGTCTGCATATGTGAGTGTGAGTGACACTGACTCACACACAGCCTGACTAATCCAAAAAGCAGATTTAATCTCAATTGACAGGTATGGTACCTCGATTTAGCACACTTGTTGTCATGGCAATGTGATGCATTTGTGTGTGTACACCTGGGAGTGTGTGTTTGTAAAACAAAGTGTGAAAACAGGTTGACATTAACACCGAAGCACCACCTTAGCCACATAACTGTGAACACACACACACACACACTTCTCCACAGACAAACACTCTGCCACTGACCAGTAGACAAATCATCTGAAGCCCTGACTCACATTACAAACAAATTCCTCACTGAAGTTGAACAGTAGTCACAGCAGGAAAAAGGAGTTTGCAGACACATACTTGTTAAAGATGATCAATATTGTTGAAACACTCAATAGATTCATCTTGATCCAATGGTAAGTCATTAAACAATTATTCAGTGTTAACTAACTAATCAATTATGTTGTTCTTCTCAGCAAAAAAGCCAAACTTCTGGTTAGAGTCAATGACGTGAGCATTTTATGTCATACATGATAGAAAAATTCAGAACTCATAAATCCTAACAGCTGTGTCTGCACTGGGATTAATTGAGCAAATAACCAGCAGATTAATCAATAATGAAATGAACAGATATGAAACTAGATTAGTCATTACAAACAAAAAATATATAATTACAGATCTGATAATTATTTGCTAATCGCCAAGCACTCGCTTGTTCATGCATTACAACTATGAAGATTTGCTTCTTGTCACAGCTTTTTTTATCTTTAGAAACTGAATTATTTTGGAAAACTCCTGAAAATGCTACCCTGGGCTCCATTAAATTGTGACAGGACTTTTTCATTATTGTTATTATCCATTTTATGGACTAAAACACACCAAGCAAAACTGATGATGGAAACAACCATTAGGTGATCCCAGTAACATTGTGTTGCAAATATCAAGCATTATATATAAGGATACAACTCACACTTGACCGAGAGAAAGAAACCTGAGCAGCACTCACACTTATCTATCCAATTTGTCACAGTAGAGCACAACAGCACTGTTCAGTGCTCTAAAATGTGCAAGAGACACTTGGATTCCTTCACATTACTGCAGCCACTGGGAATCCCAGAGGGCTCCACAAAGAAACCCTTCATAAAACAGTGTAATAACACTGAAGATGCTTCCATGAATGTCTAACATCTCACTGTCATGTGAACACATCCCGTGTCCAAATGCGTTGATTTTATCATGTTTTTACTTCAACCAAATGATTCCATACTCCTGCAATGGAATTTATTAATGTAGCACAGACAAGAACAATCACATCGTGGGACATGTCTTCAGCAGCCTCTTAGTGAATGCTTTTGTTGATTGTATGGCTTTTTTTCTAAGTTACTTTTACTAAGTTTTCAGATTCCTACACCAACTTCGTGGCTCAACATATAGAAATAAACTAGCACCATATGACGTTTTTGAGAAAAAGGCCAGCAGGAAATTGAAGTAGGACTTTGCTATGAAGCCAGCTAATCTTTCAGGTTATACCTCTCTGATGAAAAAACTCTAAAACAGAGATGCACTGATCACAGTTGTACCAGTTTACAACTTAAAAGCACTGAGAGCTAAACCAGTCACAGCTGGCCTACCTTGGGAAGGTATGCAGCATTTCGTATCCTGTCCACCATCTCCTGGCCCTCAGGGTGCACAACGGACACATGGGACCACATCCTCTCCCAAGTGACACTTTCGATGGGAAAACCGGTCCGGTTAACATAAAAAAGAACCCCTCCGTCCTTTTCCTCTTCCTCGCCAGGGGATCGGGAGCTGTTGTTAGGAGGAGACGCAGAAGACTCCTCCTGGGTGCTGCAGCGGAGGAGGCAGTGCGAGCTGGTGCTCTTGGACCTTCCATGTCTGCTCAGCTTGGCCGGAGAGGTGCCGGTCCGGCTTGGGGAGTTGGGTCCGGTCATTGATCCCAGGAGGGCCAGGAGGAGGAGGAGGAGGAACAGTTAGGGTAGGCAATCCTCCTCGGGCTACCAGAGCTTGTTCTGGTCAGTCAGCATTGTACAGTACATGATGATCTTAAGGAGCAACCTGGCAGGGCAGAAAAGCAGAAACGTCAACTTCATCAGAGCACATTTTGCATCTTGAAACCAATCTTACGATGCAATAAGAATTTCTATAGGCATCTTTAAGCAGGTCTAAAGTAAATGTAAATTCCTTAACTGCTAGGATCACTTCTACAAATGTTTCCATACAGACGAAGTAGTGTTTTATTCAGGTACTTCCCACTGAGTTGGTACACCCAGAGAAGATCTGTGCCCTTCCTATTTTGGAAAAGGAATGAGAGCGCTATAGTGGAGTATGAAGCCCCGACAGCAAAATCTCAAGAGGGAGACCAAATCCCCTCTAATATAGCAGTAATAACTGAATTCCTTCTCAGAAATCCCACAATAAATGCACCCAAAACACTGTATGGAGAAATAACAACTCTAAAATCACAACCAATTCCTTAGAGTAGCACAACAACATATCCAACTAGATAAAATGCACATTAAGAGTCATACAAGTAGCTTTGTAAGAAAGGTGTAAATTAAATCACAAAAAGTACAATGAGGTTAATATAAAATCAACAAGGAAATACGAACACAATTAAAGATCTAGTGCTATCTGTGGACTTAAAGAAGGATAAGGTCTCTACCAACTCATGCTAGTTTCTTTTACAGTGAAGGAATTTACCAAATCCAATACATTTTGCAAATAGAATAGAATAATGTCTTGAAAATCCCCTACTGTGTAAGTTAGCAGAGCAAAGACAAGTTCACATCAATATGGGCTTTTTCGTTTGGGTGCATCCGCTGAAATATCCCAACCGTTATTAATTCAACCATACCATATTTTCCACCGGGGCTCCGATTTCACCTAAACGACGGGCGTCGCGGTTAAAAAGGCATTTGACTTGAAAAAAACTCGGCGAGCCGAGGTAGGTCCCATTCATAACAAGGCGGCGTTGTCCAGCACAGGCTGTAAAGTCTTGTTTTGGTTCGAGGCTTTGTAACTTCACCTCTTCTTCAGTGTGTCAAGTTAGCCAGAGCTAATCGTCGCAGCGCTACGATTACTGTATGTTCCGCTTCGAAATAAAAGCAGTACGTTTGCTAACCGTGTGTAAATAAAGAATAAATACAGAGAATCGATGCAACATACTCATAAACTCATCACTTACGCGCATGTAAGGGTTTTACGTGTATCACTAAGGATAGTATAGAAAATCTTTCAACTAAACGTACCCATGTCTCGCAGAGCTATTTTATTTTGAAATTCCCGTCCAGAAGTGACATTGTTTTTGCTAGCTAACCGACAACACTGCGGGGGCCGTTGCCTCCCACCACCCCACTCCTGCAAAATTACCTCTTCTGTGCATTCCCCCCTGTCAGCAGCCTGCAGGGCACCTCGGTATCAGCTACCTCTTCAGAAAATCCCACTTCATAATGATAGAAAGGCCTCTTTAATCCGTCACATGATTAAATCATTAGGGATAACACGGTCCTACTGGCGAGGACCTACTGTTCTCCTGTATCTCTCCGCTGCTCGTTTCCCCGGCAGTCACCGACGCTCCGCGGCTTTCCCATTGGTCGAGCTAACAAAGAGGGGCGGGCCTCAGAGTATTCTCTACCATATTTGGAACTGATGGCGCTCTCTGATTGGTTTATTTTGATGGACGAAGGGGTCAACAAGTGATATATCTGCAACAAATGGGGTTTTTCCCCCTTGTTACAACTGTTGATTTTGCCTGAAATGTGTAGTTCTCTTTTCGATCATATAAAAACATAATAAAATAAATAAATAAATTTAAAAAAGCATTGAACAAAATAGAATGCAAAATAATAATTCTAACAATAAACATACACCCACACACTTCACAAACTATGCATGAAAGATCACTTTCATTACATTTTCCAAATGTGGTTGTGAATAATGATGGCAAAACAATTTATCAAGAGAAGGAAATGTTCATCTCACTGAAACACCTAAAGCTTTGTCAGTGATTAAAAAGGACGATCCTTGAACAACCAGTTGACAGTACATGTCACTGTAATAATAATCATGTCCACTGCAGCAAATTTGTTGAGCAAAATGTGTCATATTTTGTTGTAATCAGCAGAATATGCTGCTGCTACATTTACAGTAGTGACTTGATCTACAGCTCCACCTTCTGGACAAAATGCTTTTCACACCATTAAAAGAAGGATAGACCGCTGTGTTTAACATGTTTTAAAGGAAAATATGTGCAACTTTATAATTCAATAAATGTTTGGTTTGTTTCACATTACGCTCTTTATACACATGGGATCAGTAACTTTGCTGGCTTTAACAATCTGTTAAAATAACAGCCTTCTGTCATTCAGAGATAAGTCACTTTCACATTAGTGTCCCTCACAACTTCACTCAGACATACTTATGACAGTGATGGAGAGGGCCACAATAATCATGCGATAGTTGTCATTCATGTGAGATCAGACAGTACACTGAAGCCCCTTTCAGACATGTGGTATGAAACATTGCTGGCATCATAAATCCATTATAATGTCCTTCTAGTCATTCAGACATACGTCACTTTTCTGTTAGCGTTCCTCATAGCCTCACACAGACACCCCTCATGAATCCTAACACTGTCTGATGCTGTGAGTAAGTAATAAAACACAAAGAAATAGTCCTAAACAGCTGTACACTGTCATTATGTGTGTGTAATGTGTTTGATGTAAATATGTGTAGGCCTATACAGCGTAACCTGCTGTCGAATCCTGACTCAAGCTGTTGTTCTGTGTGCAACTGTCTCTCTTTAGCGAGCCACACATGGATCCTGCTGTTGTCAGATGCTGCAGGTATTTCATAAATTCAGAAACAATAGTTCTAAACAGCTGGAACAGACACGCTTCAGCTCCTGTTAACAGCTGAGGGGGAAAAAAACACTAATGGCATTCAATATCGGTGAGTATCATTAATCTTTAACCTATTAGTGTC